GCGGGATGGGGGGGAACTTACCTCCTCCTGCTGCTTCCTCCTCTGCCTCATGTGTGGAGGTCCCTCCCCCCCCCGCGAGTATCGTGGGTCCCGCCCCTTGTGGTTTCTAATAGTGGTAGAAAGAGTAAGAGTCCAGTAGCACTTTTAAAGACTAACAATACTGTGGTAGAGTATGTGCTTTTTTGAGTCACTGCTCACTTCTTCAGACTTATTTCCATTTATTCTTTGTATCCTCCTGGACTGAATCCTCCTGTACCAAACTGAGACCTAGGTTTCCTGACTCATTACCAATGCTGATATCTGCATGTCTCTGTATATCACACCTATGCTGATATCTCCATTCCTCCTCATATCACACCTAATCCCAATCACGCCTGCTATTGCCATTTGGCATCTGAAATCATCTTTATAAAGTTTGTATCTCCGGTATCTTCTGTTACATTTTATGGCACACATGGCCCAGCCCAACAAAGTGATATTTATGTCAGATCCGGCCCTTGTAACCTCTGCTCTAGGCTGATCCGGCATTGAGCAAGGGGCTGGACTAGATGGCCTGTATGGCCCCTTCCAACTCTGTGATTCTATGAATCTATGATTGCAATAGGATGAGACATATAATAAGCAATGTACTAGGTCTAGGATTATAGCAATCTGAGACAAAGTATAAAATTATGTTTAATATGTTAAAACAATGCAGAAAATGTATTACATAGGTATAAAAACAAAGCAGAACTAGGAAATCTAGCAAGCAGATAAGATATGCTATACACAGTGGTATAGTTCCCAGTCTCATTCCCTCCTGAACTATTCCACTATAATATGGTCCTGTTGCCTTTACAGAAACATTCCTTTACTTCATCTAAACATTTTGGGAGTCTTACCTCGTAGGACTTCTTTTGTCTTCTTCAGAGATCAAAAGCCATACAAAATCTGCATAGCTCATCTGGTTTTCTTTGTGTACTTGATTTCCTCTGTAAGACAAAAAGTAAAAATTTAAATATTTATATCCTGCTTTTCTCCCAGAAGGGACTCAAAGCAGTTTACAACAATAGCAACCATTCAATATCTTTTTTAAAAACAACAACCACCAAACAAAAACAAATCAACAAACTATCTTGGGCTGGTCCAGAATACAGCAGCTGGCTCTTCAAGACAAAGCAGCTGCCAGCCGTTGGCCAGGAGCCCCCATGGGCTCACACCTCTGGCCACACTCAAGAGTTAGATTGTAATGAAATCCTAAATTATCATAAATATAAGCAAAGACAGGTCTCAAAAATGCCCTGAAGTTCACATGGGAGAAAATGGTTTAGACATTTCAATACATGTCAGAGACTCAATTTCAGTTCTTTAAAGAAGCTGGGGATGTTTTAGTGCTTATCATTCTCTCCCTGATTCTTTGAGGAACACTGTTCACCTTCCAACAGTACTTCAGAAAGCAGATGACATTCTAATTAAAGTAGTTTTTATTATTTGGGAAGAGGTCCTTTATGATGGACAAAACTCTGCTTGTAATAATTTTCCCCTTTAATTCTCCTATAGTGGAACTTGTTTTGTGAATGTCCTTATACATGTCTGAGAAATTATAGATGTTTATATACAAATGCCAGAAGTGTCCGAGGTAGAATGGGGGAGCTGGAATGCTTCGTGTCAGAGGAGAACATAGACATTGTGGGAATTTCAGAAACCTGGTGGGATGAGGATAATCAGTAGGATACAGTGATTCCGGGATATAAATTATATCAGAAGGATAGGGAGGAAAGAGTTGGAGGTGGAGCTGCTCTGTATGTCACAGAGGGTATACAATCCAGTAAAACTGAGAATCTAAGGCCCCTGACACACGGGACGGCTGAAACGCGGCTACTCAGAGCCGCTCCAAACTTGAGACGCCCTGAGCCGCGGCGCATCGCTCCCCGGCACGATCAGATGCCGGGGAGGAAAAGTCCGATGGGAGGGGGAGGCTGCCGAACTGCGCATGCTCGAGCATGCGCAGTACGGCCGGGGGCCGGGATGCGGCGGTGCAAGGACGCGCCACCGATCCCACAGCCCAGCTTGAGGCGCTCCAATGGATGCAACCACCTAGATAGGTGGTTCTTTTTTACGGCGTGGTATCGGCATTTGGGACGGATCAGGGACGGAGACGGCACGCTCCCCAGATGTTGAGGTGGGATCGCGCCCGTTTGCTCTGCCCCCGTTCCGTCCCGCTCCCGGCCCAAATGGGCTCGTATGAACAGGGCCTAAGAGAAACAGATTCGCTTACAGAAAAGCTATGGGTGGAAATGGTGTGCCCAAATGGAAGTTTAACTTTGGGAGTTTGTTATCCCCCACCAGATCAAAGCTTAGAGAATGATTTAAAAACAGGAAAAGAATGAAGGAAAGCAGCTAGATGAAATAATTGTGTCATAATAGGTGATTGTAACTACCCACGCATTGATTGGGTCAATATGTGTTCAAGACCAGAGGAAGAGCTACTAGCTACTCTCAATGTTTCTAGCTACTCTCAATGACTGTGCCATGGAGCAGATGGTCACAGAACCTATCAGGGGGAGGCAATCCTGAATTTGGTCCTAAGTAATGCTCAAGACCTGATGAGAGATGTGAACATGATAGCACCAGTTGGGAACAATGACCATAATGCTATTAAGTTTAGCATTTATGTTAACAGGGAGTTACCCAAAAAGACCAATACAACCACATTTAACTTTAGAAGGGGTAACTTCTTTCAAACGAGGGAATGTGTGAAGAACAAACTGAAAGGAAAGAAGGAGGGTCAAATCCCTTCAGGAAGCTCAGATAAAATGTATACCATAGGTTAGGAAAGGTACAAATAGGTATTTAAAAAGGCCTGCATGGTTAACAAAGTAATGGAAGCAGTAAAAGGTAAGAAGGATTCCTTTAAGTGGTGGAAAGCTAGTCTGAGTGAGGTAAATAAAAATGGAGCACAGGCTTCAGCAAATAAAATGTAAGTCGGTGATTAGACAGGTAAAAAGGAACTATGAGGAACATATTGCAAAAAACATAAAGACCAACAATAAAAATTTCTTCAAATACATTACTAGCAGAAAACCAGCCAGGGAGACTGTGTAGCCATTGGATGAGCAAGGAGTAAAAAGATTACTAAACGATGATAGGGAAATGGCAGAGAAGCTGAATGCATTTTTTGCCTCTTTCTTCACTATGGAAGATGGGAGGTGCTTGCCCATTCCAGGACTGCTGATTTCGGGAGGGGTGTCAAAAGACCTTAGTCAGATTGAGGTGATGAAAGATGAGGTCCTACAATTGATGAACAAATTACAAACTGAGAAATCACCAGGCCACATGTCATACATCCAAGAGTTCTGAAAAAACACAAAAGTGAACTTGTGGACCTCCTGATAAAAATCTGCAATCTATCACTAAAACCTGCTGCCATTCCCAAAGACTGGAAGGTAGGCAATGTAACCCCCATCTTCAAAAATGGTTCCAGGGGAGAAATTACAGGCCAGTCGGTCTAACATCGATACCAGACAAGTTGGTGGAATCCATTATTAAAGATAGAAACAGTAGGCACATTGATGAATAAAAGCTATCAAGGAAGAATCTGCATGGATTTTGTAAGGGAAGATCTTGTTTCACTAACCTTTTAGAGTTCTTTCAGGAGGAGAACAAACATGTGGACGTGGGTGACCCAATAGATGTTGTTTTACCTAGACATCCAGAAAGCTTTTGATAAAGTTCCTCCTAAATAAACTCAGCAGTCATAGGATAAGAGGACAAGTCCTCTCATGAATTAAAAACTGGTTAATTAACAGGAAACAGACAGTGAGTATGAATAGGCCATTTCCACAGTGGAACGTGGTAAGCAGCGGGGTACCGCAGGACTCGGTACTAGGTTCGGTGCTTTTAACTTGTTCATTAATAATTTGGAGTTGGGAATAAGCAGTGAAGTAGCTCAGTTTGCAGATGACACTTAAGTTGTTCAGGGTGGTGAGAACCAGGGAGGACTGTGAGGTGCTCCAGAGAGATCTGTTGAGGCTGGGCGAGTGGGCGTCAATGTGGCAAATGAGGTTCAATGTGAGCAAGTGCAAAGTAAAGTACACTGGAGCCAAAATCCAACTATAAATCTACATTGATGGGGTGTGAACTGGCAATAACTGACCAGAAGAGAGATCTTGGAGTCTGAACATGTCAACTTATTGTGCGACTGCAATAAAAAAGGCAAATACTATGCTGGGGATTATTAGGAAGGGGATTCACAACAAATCAGCCAGTATCATAATGCCTGTGTATAATTCGATGTTACAGCCTCATTTGGAATATTGTGTAAAGTTCTGGTCACTGCATCCAAAAAAAGGTAGCATTGGAAAAGGTGCAGAAACAGGCAACTAAAATGATTAAAGGGATGGAACACCGTCCCTATGAAGAAAGGTTAAAGAGATTAGGGCTCTTTAGCTTGGAGAAATGAACGATGAGTGATTGAGGAGACAAATTCCTAAAGAATACTTGAAAGCTATTTAAAACCACACTAATTGAGGCCAAAATAGAATGCATTCCACAGGTGAGGAAAGGCACTGTCAAATCTAAAAGAAGGCCTGCATGGCTAACAACGTAAGTCAAGCAAGCTATAAAAAGTAAAGAGGTATCTTTTAAAAAAGTGGAAGGTCTGCCCCAATGAATTGGACAGGAGGGACCACAGGCTCTGGCAAAAGAAATGTATAATTATAATTAGGCATGCAAAAAAAAATTTTTTTTTTTAAAAACGGCTTGCTAAAAGCATCAAGAAAAAAATCTATCTGGATCAGGAAATCAACCAGATAAGCAGTGGAGCCTTTGGATGACAAAAGAATAAAAGGATTGCTAAAGGAAGATGGGGAGACAGCAGAGAAGCTCAATGACTTTTTTGCTTCTGTGTTCACTGTGGAAAGTGTGGGGCACATACCCATGCCACAGCCCCTATTTTCAGGAAGGGAGTCTGAGCGAGCTAAATTGAGGTGACCAGAGATGAAATTCTAAACCTACTGGGGAAATTAAAAACTGATGTCTCCAGGTCCTGAAGGCAATACACTTGAGAGCTCTTAAGGAATGTCAGATAGTTGATCTACTAACCCGCATATGTAACCTATCACTAAATTCAGCCACTTTTCCAGAAGAGTGGAGAGTAGCAAATGTGATTTTTAAAATTTTTAAAAACCAATCCAAAAGGGAACTAGGAAATTATAGGTCAGTCAGCCTAATGTCTACCCAGGCAAATTAGTAGAAACTGTAATCAAATATAGAATTGTTAGGCACATAGAGGGACAAAGCTTGCTTCAGGAAAGTCAGCATGGCTTCTGCAAAGGAAAGTCTTGCCTCATCAACCTTTTGGAGTTCTTTGAGAAAGTGAACAATCATGTAGACAATGGATGGTGACATTATATACTTGGACTTTCAGAAGGATTTTGATAAGGTACCTAACCAAAGACTCCTGAGTAAACTTAGCAGTCATGGGATAAGAGGATGGGTTCTCTTATGGATTAAAAACTGGTTAAATGACAGGAAGCAAAGAGTAGGAATTAATGGATAGTTCTCACAATGGAGGGAAGTAAGCAGTGGAGTCCCAGAAGGATTGCTATTGGGGCTGGTACTATTTAATTTATTCATCAATGATCTGGAACTAGGGGTGAGTAGTGTAGTGGCCAAGGTTGCAGATGACACCAAATTATTCAGGATGGTGAAAACGTTCAATGTTGCTAACTATATAGCGATGCACACTGGGACCAAAAAAACCTTCAAGTATAGGCTAATGGGGTCTGAACTTGCTGAGACTGAGAGGGAAAAAGATTGTGGGGTTGTAGTGGATAACTCTATGAAAGTGTCAATCCAGTGTGCTGTAGCAGTGAAAAAGGCAAACTCTATGTTAGGGATTATTAGGAAACGGACTGAGAATAAAACATCCGATACTGTAATACCCCTGTATAGATCTATGGTGCAGCCTCATTTGGAATACTGTGTACAGTTCTGGTCACCATATCTCCAAAAGGACATTGCAGAGCTGAAAAAAGTACAGAGGAGGGCAACCAAGATGATAAGGGGGTCGGAGCACCTTCCCTATGAGGAAAGGCTGAAGAGACTGGGACTTTTCAGTTTAGAAAAGAGACGACTAAGCGGTGACATGACAGAGGTTTATAAAATTATGCATGGGGTAGAGAGAGTTGACAAAGGTAATCTCCCTCTCCCAAAATACTAGAACTTGAGAGCATCTAATGAAGCTGATGAGCAGTAGATTCAGGACAGACAAAAGGAAATACTACTTTATAGGGAGTGATTAAAATGTGGAATTCGCTGCCAGAGGATGTAGTGATGGCCACAGGAATAAACAGCTTTAACAGGGGATTAGATAGATTCATGGAGGATAAGTCTATCAATGACTACTAGCCATGGTTACTGAGGGGAACTTCCACATTCAGAGGCACTAAGCCTCTGAATCCCAGAGCCAGGAGGCAACATAAGGGGAACGCCTCGGCCTCTATGCACTGTTGTTGGCTGTCCAGAGGAACTGATTGACCACTGTGTGAGACAGGATACTGGACTAGATGGACCATTGGTCTGATCCAGGAGGGCTCTTCTTATGTTCTTATATTCTTGTGTAAGTCCATTTTCTACTTTCTCACAATGTAAGAACTCATGGGCACACAATGACATTAATGAGCAGTAAGCTCAGAACAGATAAAAAGTACTTCTTCACCCAAAGAGTAATTAACATGTGGAATTCACTGCCGCAAGAAGTGATGGTGGCTACAAGCACAGACAGCTTCAAGACGGGACTGGATAAATGTATGGAGCAGAGGTCCACAAGGTATGGATGGAACACTATGTCTGGGGCAGTGATGATCTGTATTCTTGGTGCCTCGGGGGCAATAGTGAGAGGGCTTCTGGAGTTCTGGCCCTGCTGGTGAACCTCCTGATGGCACCTGGGTTTTGGCCACTGTGTGACACAGACTGTTGGACTGGATGGGCCATTGGCCTGATACAACATTGGCTTCTCTTATGTTCTTAAAGACAGGGTACACATTTTATAATAATAAGTAATAATGATAATATCTCAGTGGTAGAGCAAATGCCTTGCACATGTAAAACCTCAGGTTCAAACTATAATATTGTAAGCTAAAAACAATTTGTTCTGGATTGAAGAGAAAGAAATAATTGCCAAACATTTTCTGACACAGGATGTGCCAGAGTCAACATTTTAATGTATGATACTAAAAAGTGCAATTGAGCTACCGATGTACACATGGATATTACACAGTGAAATGACAATTAAAAAAAAAAGTCTGAATGATACCAAGACCAGCTGCTAAAAATACAATAACTGAAAGTTTTGGAAATGGCTGTTACTTGACGCCTCACTATCTGCTTTCAGTTGTACAAGGTGAGAGCAGAAGGGGAGATGGAGAGCTGAGTCAGCAAATAATCTGACAAGGACATGTACCAATCAGGAGAGGTAACAAATGATTCTGCATCACAGGATCACTCCTATAGGAATTTCTTTGCATAATATTTGTACTTAATCATGGCACGAGTCCCTCTGGCATGGGGAGGGTTTTCTTGATTCTGTATAAACAGAAGTGGGTCCTGTAAGTTTGCACTTCTATTCACTAGTGCTGCATCTGCTAGGCAGCAATGCTCCTGATAAGCTGTAGAGTCTTGTGAGCAAAAATTCTACTTTGTGAGCTACTGGCATTAAAGGTGTGAGCAAGCGATTTGGCTACTGCATAAATTAGTTTGCTCTGGAACCATCCTTCCTGAGCTAAGACAAAAACACGTGAGCCGGAGGCTAAACAACTGTGAGCTAGCTCACACTAACTCAGCTTAGAGGGAACATTGCTAGGCAGCTGCAGGGACAAGGTAGGAAGCTGCAAATAGTGGGGAAAGGACAGAGGTGGAGTGGCAGGAGAATAAGGTAAATATAATGCTTGTACAAAGTTTGAGTCCAGTGGCACGTTTAAGACCAACAAAGTTTAATTCTGGGTGTAAGCTCTAGTGTGCAAGGCACACTTCTTCTGGAAGGCAGGTAGGCTGCTGCAGAGTAGACTAGAGGGAGGGGTCATAGAACTAAACACTCCCCCCCCACCTCCACTTGAAAAGCCAGGCCAAACCAAATGGCATACAAAACATCTATGTGGGAGAGAACTGATAAAGGAATAAACTTCTGACAGCTCTTGGTTTAATTTTATGTAAAAGCAAATGAGATGAGGACTCTAGCACTAAGGCAGGGGTGAAGGAAAGCAAAACAAATGTTTTTAGATGCGGGCCAAGTTTGGCAAGTCATATGCATTTGTTCTCATGTCCTCCTCAACTCATGTGGTAAGAAAGTAGGGAGGAAGAGTCTATTTTGAAACAAGAGTGAGTGAGCAAGTGAGGGAAGCTAAACCCTAAAACCAGCCTCTTCTCACAACTTGCTGTGCATAGTTGACTGGTTTCAACACTTTTCTTAGCCTGGCTCCAATAGTGGAAGTCAGCTCGACTGGGAGAAAAAGGCTACAATTAACGGAACAGTGAGGCAAAGGCATCAGATGCTTTTAGCTCCTATTGGCATGTGCTCTGATTTTGTTATAAAAATAGACCCTTCCACTCCCTGCTTGTGGATCTTGACAAGGGGGGAAACTCACATGCCAAGATTCTCACACCACCCTATGCCCTCTCTGCAAGCCAGAATTTTAATTGCCAATCAAATGGAAATCTTTTGTGATCTCTTGTATAGAATTTGGCAGGGAGGATCTAATGAGGGTACAATCCCAAAGAGGTTCATCCAAGTGGGAGGCAAAAACACAAAACAAACAAAAAGAAATGAAAACAGTAAAAATGAAAACAAATGGGGGGTAAAGTTAAAAAAATGAAACCAATGAAAAAATGTACTTGCATAGCCCTAATTTGAGCCTTTTTCATGGTTTTTATGTCACTCACAAGGGAGAACAGAAAAATCAGAAACTATATGTATACAAAAGATGGTTTTACATTTGCATTAGAAAACATTAGGAGTCAACAAAGCTAAAGCAAGCATCATGTATTAACCATCCAGCATTAACCTTTCTGAACCTCATTCCAGATCTTTCCCTCAAGATGGCATTTTTTCTCTAGCCTTGTTTCCTACTGCCTTACCTAAGCACAGCTCCAGTGAATATTCTCTCTATAATTCTGCTTGACAGAGCTGTAGATGAAGAAACAGGAATTAGGAATAGGCAGTCTCTTGACTAGCACAGTATGCTATAGTTCTGTTAAGAAATGGCATTTTTTTCCAAAGCAAAAGCCCCCCCCTTTCCCCCCTAAAATGTCCTTTCTGTTTGTAACCACCCTTCCTCATTATGGTATGTTATACCGTAGTGAGTTTTTGTTGCCTTAGACAGTTTCTTCTCTGCACTGTTTTCCAGTTCTGTAATCCTAGTCCTACTGGAGGCCTTTGCTATCTGACTGAATTGCTTTTCATACTTTGTAATCCACCTTCCATCTCAGTGAGAAAGGTGGACTATAAATAACAACAACAACAATAATAATAACAATGTGATGTAGAAAAATCTATGTATGTAAAGTGGTTTTAAGTTCTGTAAAATCCAGCAACAAAACACTTTCCCCTCACTGAATGTGGCTTTTCTATATATCCAATTTATTGACATGCAACATCAATTTTTGAATGCGGTTCATCTAGTCATTCTGCTAGTTCCTTAAGACTCCTTAAAATCCATTAAGAATTATTCTGATTATGTGGCAAGATCTATATGGTATGTGCAATGTGCTGTATATGTCAAAGCAGAAGGATATGGCTTTTTAGTTAATATGAGAAGTACGAGCATCTGTATGCTTCAGCCAAGCACATAACTGAGCAAAAATGGGCTAGCAGTTTTCAAGCTGGCAAAGGGTTGGATCCATGAATTTATTCAATTTCCATCTGTGCAAAGAGAAAGTGATTTTCCCCAGTTCCCCCTCCTACTGCAGATCTCCCCAGTCCACCCTGTTTTGGTACTGAGATTTCCACCTCCCCAACCTCCACAAACAGCATTTCAGATAATAAAGTAGGCTGCAGTGGAAAGGGGTAGACAAGAAAGATCTGTGAGCAGAACTGCATTTCTGGTCCTTTAGATCCAATCCAGACTTCTATACCATTGGATGTGTGGCAATACAAGAATAAAACAAAACAAAACCACGGCAAAACATGATCACTAGGAATTATTAAAAACTCAGATTTTCTCGAGTAGTTGATAAACATTGGTGGAGTCCACTACTTCCTTGTAAAAAGTTTTGTTTGTTTGTAAGAAGTAAAGCATTTTCACACTCCTGTATTCTGTCATGCCTGTCCTCCCCCACCCATAAACAAGGTCTTTGTTGGTTTTCCTGACCTTTACCCTCCTGCCTTTCATTTGTTTACTTTCCTGCCTTTATGGTTAAATTTGTGACTAATCTGGTCTGCAGGTTCCCACCTTTGGAATTAAAGTAGTTGTGGCACCTTCTTCTATAGAAATCTCTCCCCACATCACTTGCCTAGGTAGGTTTTAGGTGAGAGGCAAAAACTATTTGCATTTATCAAGGAGAAGTAGAAGACAAATTTAAACAGGGGCTAGATAAATGCAGCCCAGTATTTTAAGTCTGTCTTCTACTGCTCCTTGAGCAACTTTGATGATGGGTGTTCTGCTCATAGTTTGTTGTTGTTTTATGAATGTTACTTGGGGGAGCACTGTATTTTTTATTATTTTATGAGTGTTATTTATTTTGCTTTTAATATATTTGAGTATTATTGTATACTGCTTTGAGAACCCTACAGATAAGTATGTAGGGTATAAATACTGTAAATAAACAAATAGCAAATGGGTAGATACATAGGAGGTGGGGGGTTAGCAACTAGTATTCTTCATCGTCTTTTTTTATAGTGGACTTCACATTGCATGAGGTGCTATGGAATATTCACAGATCAATCTGCAAAGCTCTTCAAATAATCAATAGGTAACAGATATTTTAGTGCCCTTTCAAAAAACTTTCCCTGTCTAAGCTTGCATTTTCTAGAGGCAGCCTGTGCACTAGGAATCAGAAAATCACCTTGACAAGGCACAAGTCTGCAACAGACAGTATGCAGTGTAGTTCAACATGCTCTCTACCCTAATACTTGGGAAAATATGCAGATGTCAGATTATATATGAAAACTTTTGCATATCATTGCAATTTAATATACATTTATCCCATGTCCTCTTTGACTGCACTGTTGTTTATATATCTATTTACAGCCTGACTCATGGCACAAGAATTTTTGTGGGATTAAGTGTAGGGTTTAGCTACGCACCCTTGCACCATCGCTGTGAACACCCCAAGAACGGACACAGGAGCCACTGATGCGGCTGATCTAGTTCTTACCACCAGTGCATAGCTTAGCTGTGCTGCATTAACAGCTTATATGGATTCTGCTTCCATCTTCCAACAATACTTAATTTATATTAGTATTAATAACCATAAGTGGTTCTCTTGCTCTTGACTCTACGTACCTTGATCGTTGTATCTAGCCAGATCTTTCTGGTTGATGTAGAGGTCATGGTCAGTGTCCAGTTCCCAGAATTTACAGTAAATGACATAAAAATGTTCATAGGAAAAATAATCTGTGATCTGATTTATGTCTTCCTCTTCTTCTAAGAGTGCTAGGGTCTGAAAAGGTAAGAGTTAATTCTGAATAGAATGTGTTAAATACCAAATACTCACAACAGAATTATGACTTCTGTGTTAGATGGAAAAAAACGCAGCATTGTTTGCCCAAGATATACTACTGTTGTTCATCTGAAATGCATTACTACTGGAGATCATCAATTGGTACTTCTCTTTTTAGGGACCTGCTGTCTAATCTAGAAGTTCCCAACTCAGTTACCTTGTTCTGTCCTAGAAAAACACAAAAGGATTAAGAAAGCAAACAAATGTGGCTTTCTTAGCTAAAGTAAAGCATAACTCTGGATATTTTTTGCCACTGCTGCTTGTATAGTGACTGCAAACTGCATTGAGGCCTAGCTTTAGTCTTTCAATTCACTGCTCCACAATTTTACCAAACATCTACACTGCTACTGTGCTTTTATTAATTCCTGCTAAATTTAAACTTCAAAACTGAAATCTCTAAATAGGATGTAAGCATAAAAACATAAAAATACATGATGCCCATAAGAATCCAACAAATTAATTTACCTGCAGGAAGTTACTTTTCCTTAACTCTGTTAGTGAGATTTTCCCAGACCAGGATCTATTGGCTGTGTAAAATATTCTTTGAATAACCTAGAAACATGAAACATCAGTCTCAAAAGGGGATTTCTACTATGGATTAAAAAATGCTACAAGCCACAGAAATATTGCAGTGTGTTCTTCACAACAGTCAGTACCAATATTTAAAATGAATAAAGCAACCTAATGTGCGAGGAACAACTAAAGAAACACACAACAATACAAGAAATCCGAAATAGCAGCACAAGGTTCAGTTTCCATGAAAATGGAGCTCACAAGGTCAGGCTCACAAACAGGGTTGCCAGTTCCATCTTTGTCCCCAGCGGGGGACTTTGGGGGTGTCCCCAATGTGATGTCATCATGTTGGGGACATCCTGACTCCAAGCCCTGCCTTTGTGGGGATGGTCCTGCCAGCTGTGAGCACTTAAAGTGCCCGCAGCCGAGGGCACCACCTGCCCAATCTCCGAGTGGCATTGCCGCTGGGAGATCAGGTGCACGGGGCCCTGTCCCGCTGGCTGTGTGCACTTAAAGGGGTTCCTTTAAGTGCATGCAGCTGGAGGGCCCCACCCGCTTGATCCCTGAGCAGCACTGCTGCTGGGAGATTGGGTGTCCGGGACCCTGTCCCGCCGGAGCCCCACCCACCTGGAGATCAGGCATGTGGCCCGCAGCCGCCCCTCTCCCTCCTCTCTCTCAAGAGAGGAGGAAGAAGGGTGGCTGCGGCTGTTGGGTCTTGGAGGCAGGGCTTCCCCCACCAGCCAGGTGGCCAGGGCGGAGGGAGAAACCCCCCAAAAGCGGGGAACCCCCCCCAAACCGGGGGGGGGGGGTGTCTGGCAACCCTACTCACAGACCCAACATGTGAACAGTCAAAACTGTCTTCAGTGCCCACATGTGAGGTTCCTGGTTCAGTTCAGGATTGTAGCAGACATGCAGAAGGACTTCAACCTTCCCCCCAGACACACCTCACACTGTTACCCTGAATAGAAACAGTCCAAGAAATTGATGTTACATGGTCTTCTGCAACAGGCTCAATAATTCCTCCCCCCAGATATGCTGGGATAACAGCATGAGGAGGAAGGCTGCAGCTCCTTCTGCATGTGCACTGTGATCTCACAGAAACTGCCTGCACAGGAATTAAGGACAACATGCAAGTCACATATGACCCTAGAACAGTTCATAGGTTTGGTCCACAGTATCCACCCTGTAAACCATCTCAGAAATCAACATAGAAGTTCCAGCTTTTAATTTATAATAACTTGGACTTTAATTTGTAATATATTGAACTATTATATTTTGATTGTTGTAAGCTGTCCTGAGCCCTGCTTTGCAGGGTATGGAGCGGGATAGCATAAACAAACAAGTAAACTCTTAGTTGAGCATCACAGTGAACAAGTGAGCAAACTCTGCAGACAAGCAGAAAAAATGCTAACATTTATAGGGAATGGAATGGCAAAAACAAATAACTACAATACTATGAGACAACTTCAGATCTCCTTGTAATCATGGCTCAAACTGGATCATTATGGGAATGTTGCCATACTGAATTTGCACCCAGCTTACTGTAGTAATGTAGCGGGAATGGAATTCTGGAGCATCCTTTAGAAATGTCAGGCCAGGGTGAGTTTCTACTACATCCTGAAAGACATAACCCATTTGTTTAAGATACAAAACTTAAGGAGTTCACAAAATTACTATGCTGTGGTTTTGGCAGGCAGTTCTAGCATTAGAAGAGCCACTCTCTTACGTAATTAAACCTTTAGAAAGCACAGGCAATATGCACCTGCTGGGCCATTTTGATTTACTTTTAAAGACAGAAGAATAAAGGTGGATAGTTAGTAAGCAGGCAAAAACATCCATATTTTAGATTAATATATTCAAGTAAAATGTTCAGGCATATTTTCTCCTCAAAGCATTTTCTCATCCCCCACTGATGGTTTTTATGCTAGTGTAAAATAAATATTTATTTTTAAGAGTTCAGTCCAAATCCTTGCTCCACTAACAGAACAGATTTTTACCTTTTTCTCTTCCCACAACATCTCCTACGCCTTCTAAAAAGCTGTTCCTGACAGTTGGGAGGAATATGGGTACAGAATAGGAAAGGGGAAGTCTTCCCACCATTACCCACCATTACACAGCTTGGTGATATTACATTAAATTATTGTATTAATAGTACATTCTCTCCAAGTGGTATCTGCATCTAATCACAATGATGAAGAGACAGGCTATTTGCCAGGTTTTAAAGATAAAAATAACATCCCACCATCAACCTGACAATGAACCAATCTATAAAAGAAATGCATTTTCTGGACACTATAGTAAAAATACTCAATGGATGCACAAGTCACCACCTTATACTGGAAACCTACTGGCCAACAAACATACCTACATGCCTCCAGCCACCATCCTAAACATGCCAAACAATACATTGTATACAGCCAGGCTCTATGCTACAGCTGCATCTGTTCCAATCCTACAGGTAGAGATTCTCACTTGAGGGATCTACAACAAACCTTTTTGGAACTAAAATATCCACCCGATGAAGTCAAGAAACAGATTAACAAAGCCAGAATGGTACCCAGAGAAAACCTGTTGCAAGACAGGCCCAAAAGAGGCAATAACCACTAGTGGTAACATACAGCTCTCAACTCAAAACAGTTCAATGCATCATCAGCAACTTACAACCTCTACTGGATAATGACAGTTCTCTTTCCACAAGTACTGGGGGGCAAACCTTTTCTTGCCCACAGACAGCCCCCAATCTTAAACAACTCTTCACCCACAATAATACATCTAATTTGAACATGGACAGTGGTTAAGGTTACCAAGTACCTACCTTCGAATCAGCGGGGGACACATGGAACATCCCTTGGTGGAACACATCCCCACTGCACCATGCCGTCGCCCAGACGTGACGCCAGCATGCTGGGCACGTAGCTGGGGGATGCTCTGGCAATAGAGCTGGAAACTCGATGGTACCATCCATTGCCAGAGCGTTGCCCAACTACGTGCCCAGCGTGCTGGTGTCACGTCTGGGCGACAGCATGGTATGGAGCGTTTGTTTTCCATGCGGGAATGTTCCTGACAAGACGTATGTGTCCCCCGCCAAATCAAGGTAAGTACTTGGTAAGCCTGACAATGGTACCTGAGCTTTCAATAAACCCAGATGTCAACTTTACTACCACATATACCCAGACAACACAATCACTGGACCTAACAACATTATCTCAGGCTCATTCACTTGTTCATTTTCTAACATTATATATGCCATTAAATGCCAACAATGTCTTTCCATTCTCTACATAGGGCAAACAGGTCAAACCCTACGCCAATGGACACAAATCTGACATCAGGAATCATAAAACTGAGAAACCTGTAGGAGAACACTTCAGCCTTCCAGGACATTCAATGGAGGACCTCAAAGTAGCTATTTTATTGCAAAAGAATTTCAGAAACAGGCTAGGATGGGAGAGTGCTGAATTACAACACAAGAAAATGGAGCCCCAAGGGCTTCACAGAGATATGGGTTTCTTATCACTCTACACATGCTAATGTCATTGAGCTTTCACATCTGTTTGTAAACTCTTTTATTATGCTGTATGTTAATCCGCTGGTATTCACAGGCCTTACCAATTGCCTTAATCCAATTTTAGCTATATTTATTGTTCAGTTACTTATGCATCTTGACTCTAATTAGCCTTCCTTGCAACACCCACCCCACCCTCTGCCTATATATAATGGTTGGTGACTTCAGTTTCAATGTATCTGAAGAAGTATGCATACACACGAACACTTATACCTGGAATAAAACTTTGTTGGCCAGTTTGGTGTAGTGGTTAAGTGTGCGGACTCTAATCTGGGAGAACCGGGTTTGATTCCCCACTCCTCCACTTGCACCTGCTGATGTGACCTTGGGTCAGTCACAAGCTCTGGCACAGCTGTCCTTGAAAAAGAGCAGTTTGTGTCAGAGTTCTCTCAGCCCCACCCACCTCACAGGGTGTCTGTTGTGGGGAGGGGAAGGGAAAGGAGTTTGTAAGCTGCTCTGAGACGCCAAGTGAAGGGCGGGGTATAAATCCAATCTCCTCCTCCTCCTCCTCCTCCTCCTCCTCGTCTTCTTCTTCTTCTTCGTCTTCTTCTTCTTCTTGCCACTGGAATCAAACTTTGTTCTTCAGAGATTAACCATCAGTCAAATGTGCATGAGTTTTTAAATACCAATTATTGCCTCCAGTCTCCAATTTACCTATGCAGTAGTTGCCACAAACAGGAAGGCACAGAAACATGAAGGCACACTATCAGCACTCTAGGGACAAGCAGAGTGGCCAATTGACCAAGAGAAAAATCTCCTGCCCCCTTAATAGAGGCTTAATGTATGGAAATAGGCAGTTGAAACTTTTCATGACACTGAGGTAAATAACATCATCTGGTTAATATCCCATTAAACCTCTGTTAAAGGGACAGGACAGTTTTTGTCCAGGGAGCTGGCAATGCTAGAAATGATTTACTTACGATCATATTAAAAGTCCATTGTTGATTTAATCAGTGTACCTACATTATTCTCTCATGAAACTGTGTTGGGAAAGCTGTGGGTAGGTAGGGAAGATAGCAAGTGGTCAGTGCTTTGATTAGTGAAAGGGTAGATTTCTAAATTGCTTGCCTACCAATTAGGATTGCCAGGTCTTACTTGGCTGAAAGTGGGGGAACCCCTCCCCCATTGGAGGGATGGCAACCCTACTATGAATCACTTCCTCCAACCTACAAATTATCCCCTAAGACATGGTAGGTAGATGTCTGTGATGTAGTTACTGTGTAGTAAGGGGTAAGCATTCTATACACATACAGATATTTGCATTCAGAGAAGCGATTATTCTTGGGTCAAATTTATTTAGATCTCCCCAAAGACCTTGCTTTTCTGTACTGAAAGGTGAAAGAGTTAGGACTATCTGGATATTATGCCCTTTCCATCCTTTTTCTGTGATGAATTTCTTTTGCAGTAGAGAAAGGTTCAAACCTACCTATTCTGCTTCCTCTATCCTTTAGCCCTAATCCCAGATTTTTTTTGGGGGGGGGGGTAAAGACAGGAAATTGACAGTAATTTGTTGGCAAGTAAAAGGCATTCCTTTACCAAGTTTTATTTAGGTACACCTATTTCTGTGCCAAATTCCCCAGTGTAGACAGATGAGACCTCAAGATAGTATAAATCTCACCCTAGTGCTTTGCCCAATATTATTTATCAGTGTGGCCATTAAAGAGGATTGGAACAGAAAAAGAAAGACGCAGAGAGCTCCAAGAGAAACGTTTTCAGAGGGTGGCTGTGTTGGTCTGCAGAAGAACAGTCCCCAGTAGCACCTCAGAGACCAACAAGATTTTCAGGGTATAAGCTTTTGAGAGTCAAAGCTCCCTTCATCAGATACCAGGTGACAATGTTATTAGGTCAGAGCAGCAGATAATTAATTTGGTCAGGAAGGGGTTTCCTGACTCAGTTCTAGCTGTCTTGCAGCTCCCTCTCTCCCATTCCTTCTAGGCAATCTGGACAGAAACTACTTGCACATTTTCCCTTATAGCTCTGCAATAAAAAGATGACAGGCTTACTTTTATTTTTATTTTTTTTAAGTAAAACTGAGAATTCAGTGGTGGGGCATGACATATTTCTGGGTAGGGCAGGGGTCATTTCCTGCAGGAGCGCACAGGAGTGGAGCTCCAGCAGTAAAGAGCCCAGGGGGCAGGCACATGCAACAAGCTCCACCCCCTGCTCCCAGCAGCCCTCAGTCAGAGCAAGAAGCAGCCAGGTAAGTTGCAGAGCTCCCCCTGGCCCAAAACAGTCCAGTGGCACCTTTAAGACCAAGTTTTATTTAGGTACAAGCTTTTCCTCCTCTGCGAGGACAGATCTGCACGTTTCCCCCCCCCCCCAATAGCTAGCAATCCAAAACAGTCCAATGGAGCCTGAGCGGTGGGTGTTGCCTTCTGACACACTTCCGGTGATGTCAGGGGGTGTGGCATATGCAAATTAGTTATGCTAATAAGCTCCTGCACCTCTTTTTCTACGAAATGACCCCTGGGGTAGGGTATTGCCCCCATAGCTACAGCCCTAAGCTGTACTGGTCTTGTTTCACCACACAAAACATGCACAGCCAAACTCCTTAGGCAGCATGCATGCATGATATACTGTGTAGACATAGCCAATGGCTGCCCCATATGCTAATTACAATCTGCTGCATTTGGGGGTCCCCTGCTTAGCTGGAACTATGGACTTTTGCCCCAAGGTCCTGTATAATGGTGCTTCTGACAACTAGTCTGAAACATACACATTAGAATGAAAATCTACAGGCATGGCAATTTATTTTATTGTTCTTGATTGTACAGCAATGGTGTTCTTAGGTGCTTCACAAATAATAAATATTATTTTATTATTATTATTTTAAACTTATAAAACTCATTAGCAAATCACACATACCTGTAGCAATGGGATGAAATCTTCCTGTTCCAAAAAGTTACAGTTGGGTTTTGCTAGAAGACAAATGAACTTGGATGCATCATCATGGCAGTTTTGTACTATCCTACAAGAAAAACCAAATACATAGAGTGTAAAAGAACTCCTAACAATCTGAGTTCCCAAAGAACACTACTTACAGGGCAATCCTAACAACACTTTCCTGTCGTAAGCCCCACTGGATAGAATTCTGAGCAGACATGCTTAGAAGATATCAGCCTGCATGTCTTTGGTTTAACTCCTTCACCTTCTCTCCCAACCCAAGCTTGCAACTCCTATTAGGTAATGATCTAACTCAGGGGTGGCCAAACTCTTTCACACATATTGTGCAGCTTCCAGCAGGACAGCTGGGGAAGCAAAGGGGAGGCATACTTTTTCTCCCTCCCGTTTATTTGCTTTTTTTGTTTGTCTCTCTCTCTCCTCACCTCTTTCATTCTTTCTTTCCACCTCTCTCTTTTTCTCTCTCTCTTAGACAAATAAATATAATTAGCAAACAAATATTATCAATACCTGTTTTTACCCCTTTTGTTTTTATTTTGGTAGCCTCATTTAATGTTAATAAAAAAGCAAATTTGCGTATTTTAAATAAAAATGTGTGCATAATATTTGTTCATGTTTTGCGGCTCTCAGACATCTGACATTTATTCTATGTTGCTCTTACACTGAGCAAGTTTGGCCACCCCTAATCTAACTGTACCAGAGCAGGTCTTTCTGACCTCAAAAAGTATGAATTCACAAGCAGCTTGTGAACTGAAGGTTTACCAAATTAACAAACATAAAAATACTGAATACATAAAAAGGTAGAAAACTGAAAATAGAGTAAAAAAGATATATGTGATTTAAAATGACCATGGAAAGGCAGGGAAAAACACACAGGTTGATTTTGCACAAGGACCTGCGCTATGGTCACACCTCCCTTTGCCCCGTTTCCATTGGTCAATTTCCCACTCGAAGCCGCATGGCCACATATTTGACCCGCGGTTTCACCCAATTTCCCCCGCGGTTTCGTGATCCTCAAAAAACAGGATCATGAAACCGTGGGGAAAATCGGGCAAAGCCGCGGGTCAAAATGCGACCACGCGGCTTCAACAGGGCAAAGGGAGGCATGATGGCGGCACAGCTCCTTGTGCGAAATCAGTCACACAAAGGAAAGGCATTGTGGTGCTAGGTGATGTGTCCCAGAAAAAGTACTATTGGAATATACTCACTTTCTCCACATAGCCACAAATGAATGTACAGATACAAATCCTGTTCTCTCTCCTCCTGATGCAATGAACATGGGAGCTTTCCAGTACAGAGGGCAGCAGCATATCTGGGAACAATACAAGACAGAATGTAATTAGTAGAAAAGCCATAACCTAATACATGTTTGGTAAATTCTATATATGCTTACTTTGAAGCAAATACTGTCAATTTCAATGGCTCTTATTCCCTAGTAAAATTCCTTTTTTATGTGCTGCTTACACTGCCTTTGAGCCTCTATCCTAGTGATAGTATGCATGTGTGGAAGATCGAAAGGCAGTTTTAAATGTGCTTGTGTCAGCTTTTTAAATCTGTAGATGTTTATGCAGAAATGTGCATTTACAGCTGCGCTCAAGCTTCCTATGAATTTTCTGCCACTTGTGAATTCTGTCTTAAAGTACAACTTTAGTCCTCCATTCACCATTTTTCCTATACAGTGGTGTTTTTTTATTCAAATATGCACATGTGAACATCTTCTCTATGTAAAGAAGTGCTTCTTTGGTCCCTACTGGCTGGCATCATATTATCATAATGGGAAGGGAAGGGACGTTGAAGGAAGAAAAAAACTATAATGCAAGTTCACCAAGGAAGATTTATGTAGCAGCAGAAGTTATAAGCTCCCAAGTTCTGGTTTTGTTTTCATGGGGATATCCCTCCAAAATGCACTCTCACTGCAGCAGAATAACATGTTCTCCATGGTGTCTTCCACACGGGTTATCTGCCCCAACGTCAATGCTTTTGGGAAACGGGCTTTTTTTCTGCTTCCCCGCAGCATCATGGAACATTTGTGCATCTCTGGGGCTATCCCTGGCTTTTCCCTGATCTTTCTCAAACATGCTTTGCTCTGAAGTTTTGGGAAAGACTGCAGTAAAGCCAGATAGCTGGTGCGTGTGAGGAAAAAATTGGATTTTCTAGCTCAAATGGCTGCCATTTTCCCTGATCCTATCTCTGAAGCAGCCAGTTTGGTGTAATGGTTAAGAGCATGGACTCTAATCTGGGAGAACCAGGTTTGATTTCCCACTCTTCCACATGCAGCTGCTGGTGTGACCTTGGGTCAGTCATAACTTCTTTCAGATGCTCACTCAAGGGCAGTTCTTGAGAGATCTCTCTCAGCCCCACCTGCCTCACGGGGTATCTGTTGTGGGGAGGGGAAAGAAAAGGGATTGTAAACTGCTCAAAGACTCCTTCGGGTAGTGAAGAGCAGAGTCGAAATCCAATCTCTTCTTCTTCATTTCCTCTCCCTGCCAGCCTATGTTTTTAAAAATAGGCACTAAAATCTCTATATTATAAAGATGATTTGGGGTGGCATCTCTCCTATGGGGTGGCAGGATTCGATTCACACCAAAATCAGTTGGACGCCTGGACTGCCACTCACAAACGGGTCCCTGGCCACTGGCTGGGTTGGCTACGTCCTGCCCACAAAGGCAGCAGGCGCCGGAACTCAACTCACAAGGCAACTTCACCTCAGGCACACAGGACAGATGCTCCAGTGACTCTGGCGCTGACGCTGGGGGGTGGAGAGAGCTGCGGCAAGGGAAGGGACAAGCCCGGCTGGCCTGGCCTGCTGGGCGCTTGAGGGGGAGTGAAAAGTATGCAGACGGAGAGTGATTTCAGCTAAGCATACCTTTATTTAGTTCAGGACAAAGACAACTGACCGGCTCACAGGCCGGTTTATATATGTTCAGAAAACCCGCCACCAAGCATACCTAAACACACCCCCTACTCCCGATAGGCTATTTACAGTAACCGGGCGACCATTGGTCTCCCGGCTGGGAAGCTAGCCCTTTTGATTGGGCCGGCTAGGATCCTCCGGATCCTTTGTCTTTCGACTGAAGCTAACATAGGAATTGTGCCTGGCCAGCCCGGGCAAGTCCGGGCATGTCAGGCTGAATACATTACACCCCTCCCCCCTTGGTTCGCAATGCACCCACAGACGAAGTCCTTCAGGTGCGCTGGTGGCTTCCTGGGGCGAGTCGAGCGGCGAGGTTCCGGGCTGGCGATTGGTTCGGTCTCGGGGGGCCTTGGAGTCGAGTGGACCGGGCCCGGAATACATTACACCCCTCCCCCCTTGGTTCGCAATGCACCCACAGACGAAGTCCTTCAGGTGCGCTGGTGGCTTCCTGGGGCGAGTCGAGCGGCGAGGTTCCGGGGTGGCGATTGGTTCGGTCTCGGGGGCTCTTGGAGTCGAGTGGACCGGGACCGGCGAGAGGTCT